TAAGCCAATGATTCTATGATTCTATGATTCTATGATTCTATGATTCTATGAACATACCAGCAAAACATCTAGAAACAGACCAGGTTATACGACTCTCCCAGCTGCTAATCAAACACTATCAAGGGACTCCTGGATCCAGATTTGATTCCTCTCTATTAAGCAACCCACAAATTATGAGGTTTTCATTAATTTCTCCAGCCTCTTTTTCAAGGTATGTAGACTCTGAGTCTCCGTGACTATCTCAGCTACTCATCATGTAAAAAACTACCTCCATTTATTTAATTTCATCCTGACCCTTGCCAGTTTCATGTGTGACTCGTACTTCCTGTACTGGAAGCAACACTAAATAATTTATCCCTCTCCACACTATCCACATTGCTAGTAATTTTATAGGTTGCTATCCTGTTCCTTCACTCCTGCCTGAGCCGTCTCTCTAGAACGTGTCACAGTTACTATGCATATGTAGTTAGGACCCTAATGCCATTGGATTTACAAAAAGGTTAGGAGCCTAGGTGCATAGGATAGTCCTAGCATAAGTCACAGAATAGCTGAAGTGGGAAGACACCACTGGAGATCATCTAGTACAACCTCCCTGCTTACAGCAGGGTCAATTAAAGCAGGTTGCTGAGGGACAAATCTATTTTGACTGTCTCCAAGGATGGATTTACCACAAGCTTTCTGGGCAACCTGACCCAATACTTGACCATTCTGATAGAAAAGAAGCTTTTTTCCTTTTATTTTAATGGAAGTCCCTGCATTTCAGTTTGTGCCCATTGCTCTGTCCTGTCAGTGGGCAGAACTAAGGAAAGTCTGGCTGCTTCTTCTTTACTTTCATTCATCAGGTACTTATATACATTGGTAAGATCCCTCTGAGTCCTGCAAGCATTTTGACTGGGATCACAGCAATGAAAGTAAGATAGAAAAAAAAAAAAAAAAAAAACAAAAAAAAACTAGCTGGAGAGTTTATTTGCAAACTGAAGTTGAATAAAGGAAGTTTATAAATTACATAAATAGCACATTAAAAAACAAGCAGGAAATTACCCACGTTTTGCTCAAAATAGCAGTTGTTGCTCAAGTGCTGACAGCTTAACTGGTTCTTGATTTAAATAAGAAAAGAAAAGGAATCAGATTATGATAGATTTGCCATTAAGAGAAGGTTGTGAAGGTATAAACCTGATTTTCTTTCACTCTTAAATGTCACCTCAGTAGGGTTCTTATTAGGGGTCATTTCATCATTTATTTTCATGAAGGTTAGTAAAGCTCAAAACCATTTCTATACACACAGGATTTGAAAGTCTATGTTAATCATAATAATAAAGAAATAAAATAACTGCAGAGAATTAATGACCCCAAGTCTCAGCAACTGAAATCCAGTCACTAACACTATAAGAAATGCCTGTAACCCACTGGATTATTATATTTTCTGCCTGTATTCCTTTGTTACAGATTTGTTTTTCCATAGCAACACAGTCTTAAGAACTCTTTAATAACAATTATGCAGGTACATCTAAAATTAATATAGCATCTGCAGAACCACATTTTTTACTAGTTTGAAGGATCAGTTGTGATTATGTGGATATGGACATCTTATTCTTAATGCAAGAATATTTTCAAGGTAGCCTCTAGAATAATATTGTCATTAATACGTTGAGTCATTTATTGCTCTTTGCTTCATAATGAACTCTGCTTCTAAAACCTAGAGTAAATAGTCAGCAACTGTGATTTTATTTTGAACAGCAAAATGTAGAGAAAAGTTATAAAATAGAGTATTGTGGAAGTATAAAGTATTCAAGTGTATCTTTGTGGAGGAGACATCTACTGTCATTGTTTTTCAAACCCTCTCTATTTGACTCTCAGAATATTGTGAATCTGTGTTTCAAGAATATCAGCATTTTCATATTTGTGTGGTAAAATCCTTAAATCCAAATATTTGCAGTCTTTTATGTTCTGACCCCACAGAAAAATTGTCTAAACTTTCCTAAGTAGTGGCATTTTCTGCTTTCTTGGAAGGGCAGGGAAGACCTTTTCCTTCTTCCCTGAAATTCCTTTCAAATTTTCTGATACCAATTTGTCATCAGTTCTATATGTCCACAATCTAAGCTGATCAGCTATATTTCCTTAGATGCTTCCTTTCTTAGCTGTATGCTTCACAGTTTGACTTTTATTTCAGCACAACTAGTGCATATCATAACTATTTAACTTAAAACGTGGATTTGTTTGTGCCAGTAAAGTGTCTCAATGCCTTCATCTGCAGAAGGCATTTTATGGAATGTCTTGTGACTAGCAAGGGGGCCATTGCTGGGAAGTTTAAGATGATACTAGATGCCTGTGCACCAGTATCTTATGCTTGGACATTTAAACAAAAGTATTTATCTCAATTCTATCCCTTCTGTGCCTTTTATGCATTGTCTTAACTTCCTGTCACTCTGATAGAATTTGAGGTTTATGGCTCTTTCCATTATCAAGAGAAAGACTGACATCCACTTTAACACCTTGATTGTGCAAGGGTTTGTAGAGACTTTTTTTAAGATATAGTGCTTAAAAACTGAAGTAGTTATCTGGCACAATTTACAAATGCACTGGGGTTCCTTACTCCCATTGACTTCATGACATCTCAGATGCTTTGCTGTGTTTTAAATCTTGTACATTTCATGTTTGTCTAATTACCCTTGAAGAAATAAGGTGTTAAAAACCTGACAAATATTTTTTAGAGAGTAAGAGAACATCAAATTAAATGCAATTTTCCTAGGTCTCAGGTTATGCATAATGGAAAAGCCATTGTTTTCTTTAATTGAGTAGAGTTGTTTACAAAAAAATACCTGTTAAATTAAAATTGATCACTCTTGAAAAAAGGTCTTAAAAGATTTTAATTATGATTTTTTTAGGAAAACTGCATTAGTAATTATATGCAAATTTTGTTCCTGTTTTAATCTTCCTGGAGATTTATTAGTTATGTGATAGAAATATCTCTGTTACAAACCTCTTAAAAGTCAAAAATATGCATTCCATATTTGGTTTGGTATTATTTTAACATACAACAGCTCTCTCTCAGATATGGATTGTGTGTAGGAGTATGTTTAAGACCACATTTTTTGTCTATCCATTTTGGAAGTCAGACTCCCATACAGACAGCTGTGCGTAAATCCAACGCCAAACTATTCAAGAGTTGTAATGTTCACCCACTATCCACTACAAATACAGCTTTCTGAGGAGCAAGAATTTCACGTTCTCAAGAAGTCAAACACTGCTCTCAGCTATGTTGTCTTTACAAGTGAAATAGATGTACAGGATGGATACAGTAACAACAAGCAGAGTTTGGCTATGGGGCTGCACATCTGCAAACGAGCAATGTCAGATGCTTATTTCAGCCGTGGCAGCAGGGGAGGCAGCATTGCTCAGCATCTCCATGAGGGTGAATTTTGTATGAATCAAGTCTGTGTTGTAACTAGTAGCAATTTTGGGTGGGTATTTTTCCAAAGCTCTGTTTTAGCTCCATGCTGCAGTATCAAGTAGCCTTTGCTGTGCTGTCAAGATCTGCAAAAATTAAAACCGTCAGCTTCCATGCAAAAATTGCCATGCTGGCCAGTGGGACTCGCCACTCCATCTGCTGCCCTGTCCTACGAGCAAAGAGATTTTCTTGTCTTAGTCTGTCTTTCAGGGAACATAGGAAACCTTTGCTGATAATGAAAAAAAATCGAACCTTTCTTGTTGTTATATGCTGTGTCTCTTCCTCAGCACTCTGCTGGTGGAAGCTATGCCAGTCAGGCTTTGTATCTAGCCCTGTCCAATTGTACTGAAAGATTCAAACCTTATTTGAACTATATACCTTTCAAAATCTCATTGGGGGGTTAATTCATACAACTCTGAAATACCTTTACATTTCCCCAAGGGAGTAAAGGGAACTTTGTCACTCTTAATATCAGACTTGTGAACTAACTATATCTGATAGTTATTAATTCTTCAGCAGAACAAAAACTAAGCTGTAGACCTGAGGTGAATAAAAGACTTCTAACTCATGAAAGACTTGGGCTGACCTTACCAGTGCCATCAATCATGAGCAGAGCTCAAACAGATTGCATAGCACTGCAGAGATTTTATGAGAATATAAGAATATATGCACTTTGGGGGCCATAAACGATTGTCTTACAAAATGCCTACATCTTAGACCATCAGAAAAAATCACATTAAATAGTTTTACAAGAGATCTTCCATGGCATAATGATCTGTTCATATCTGTACTTCTTTTACCTGCACAGCTATATTTATGCATGGATATAAGCATAAAGTGTGGGCAAGTGTGCTGTTTTATAGTTTTATTCTGCTCCTCTCAATATTTTGGAAAGAACAAAATTACCTGAAAAGGCTTCTTAAAATGTTTGATGTGGGTCTGAGAGTGAAACACAGTGATATGCTGAACTATAGCAGATGGTAAATTGGCAAGAAACTCTCTCTATAACATGTATGCCTACAGTACCTACAGAGTAACATTCTCATTGCAAAGAGAAGTGATGTGGAGTTCTCTACATATACTTCTTTAGTGATACTTAGAAGGGAAAAAAATGCTTTGGTACTAAAACCACAGAAATACTCTTAAAAAAAGCCTCTCCATTTTAAGTTTTAAATAATTTTGTTTTAAAAGAAGAGGGGGAGCCAAGGGAAATTACCTTTGCATAAAGGAATAGCTACTTTCATCTTTTTATTATTTTGGAAAAACATAATATTTGTGTGAACATTTTATCCATTGATGTGTGGTAAGATATTGTCTTTTTTAATTTGGGCTTTACATATTCAGAGTGAGCAATAACATTTTGAATTTAAATTTTCAGTGAAATTTTGAAGAAGAAATACGATGTCTTCACATACTGTTTTCTTCTTTTAAAAAACAAAACATAACCCCCAAACACAATGTACACCTCTTCCCTCCCTCACCCCCCAACCCCCTTAGTTTTAATCATTAGATATACTCCAGGAAACGATCTCCAGTTTTGTTCTAAAAGAAGTCAGCATGTTGCTATTGCGTCTTGTCTTAAAGTTCTTGTCCAATTTGCCATTATGTTATGTAACACCATCACAGCAGACTCTTTACTGCTTAAATGATAAAAGTTTCAATAGGCACTTTAGTGGAATTACGAAAAAGCTACCACTCTTCCACCGTGATGCCAGAAAGCTATCTTCTTTCTAAGTCACGTCAGTAAACTGTAACTTGTAGGCCTGAGCTTGTCTCAGTGTAATTCCAGAGTAACAAAATAACAACAACAAAAAACTGTGTATATTACAGGATTTATCTTTCCTTTGTAGATCAAACCGAAACTGACAGAATGATAAATGTAGTAACTTGCTGGAAACAGTTGCTGTCTTTTATAATCAAAGGAATCCTGTCTTATATAAAGCTTAGGTTTATCTTTTAAATTTGTTATTGGTTTACTTTTCTTTTTATTTCACTGTTGTAGCTGTACTTAAGTGACTTTGTCAGGGTTATAACTTTCTTCTTCTCCAAACATGTCTGCCAAGATCTTAAAGCGAGGTCCCCAGTCACTCAGATAGTCATAGTCCTGGTCTGCCTCTGTAGTAAGGGAGTCTATAGAGCTGAGAGACTCTGCAACAGATCCGTTTCCTTCATAAGCATAGGTTGCCAAGGAGTCATAAGGAGGTGCAATTGGATCAACATCGCTTTCCTGCAGCCTTTGATTAATGAAATCTCTTATGTCTGTGTTATCTTCCACTGGTGGTCTCTGACGTGGAAAACGCAGCGTGTCTGGTTTTATGTCCCTGCGTATTTTGTTATCTTCAATCACTTTGGGATTTCTCAGGGCACCAATGTCAAAAGCCTGGGTGTCCTCTTCTCCACCTCCTTCATCATCATAATGGATAACGTTATCTCTGATGTCTTCTTTAGAAGTCATCAGGGTGTCCTTTTTCTTCTGCCTCCGTAGTGCTACATACAGTACCACAATGACTGTAATGAGAAAAAACTGAAGTTAAGACATGCACAGAAATAATTTGGTATGCTGATCACATATCATTATATCTTCCTTTGAAAGCTGCAAGCAATCAAAAGAACTTTTTTCCTTAGAAGATATGCTCCTACTATTATTTTCAAAATAGCTGTGCTCTAGTCAATGAAAAGTCATTTGCTGTTTGATCTACGAGTCTAACTTCCCTTGGTGCTTGCTGTGCTATTGAAGGAAGCAACAGTTTTCCTACTGGCCTGCTTTGTGAACAAATAGAATTGTACAGGACTTGAGTTATTCAGTTCAGAGAGACAGAGAGAGATGGGATTTTTGGCAAAAAAAAATCTTCCATAGCAAAACAGGAAAATCTCATGGCCTGGCTGCTGCTATTGCCCATGGCTTGGCTCCTTGCCTGGCTTGCTCCCCTCTTCATGTCCCCTGTGGTGGGTGAGTGCATTGACTTGTTCCTCCCTCTGGTCGTCTGGCACTTTGGATCTCTGGTGTGTGATGTGGGAGTGGAGGGAGGAGTTTGGGTCCTGGTTTGTCTGTTGGTGATAATATCATTCTATAATGGGCAAGCAGTCAGCAGAAAACTATGTCAGGCTAAGTTCACAGCAAGAAATTAAAATCAAAATCAGTGGAATAGTAAGGAAAAAGACTGGACAGAAGATAAATGTTATTCTCTTAGGTTATACAGAGCACTGGAGGTCA